TCCAGTAACATTAAAATCACAGTAACAAGTGTAACAGTGGAAAAATAATGTGTACAAACAGCAAAGACCCCATCTCTGGGTCTCTGGTCATAAAACACAGGCATCTTAGGCAGCATGTCTTTCCTACATTCTTTGTCAGTGGTTAGTTCAATGTATGGAGGTACTTCACTAAGAGTTACTGAGTCTTTGATTTGTTTCTTAGAATCAAAAATACAGTTCTTCAAATCTGCATATAGAGAGAAAGAGAAAGGAAACACATAAAACTAAAGACAATAACTGAAGTGAACTAACATATAAATACACATGCCAATCAACATGATACTTGCTTTATTGTATCTGGTTGAATTGTGCATATCATGTTATCACAAAACTCAATGCATATAAAATTAATTATGCATTTCTCTAAAGATATAATGAGGCTCAAGAGAAGAAAAGTCTAAGTAAGGAGGCCGAGGGATGAAAGGGCCCCTGTTATGTGAAACCCTAATTCTGAGCAGCATTTGCAAACTTTAATGAGATTGGGCAACTTCCCAAATTCTTAGTTCACCGACTGCTTGCAGTCTATATGCACATGTACATCTACATATATGAATATGTAGAAAGAAAGAGAAAGGAAATACATGAAGATGAAGACAGTAACTAAAGTGAACTAAAATATAAAATACACATGTCAGTTGTTTTTGTCAATTTCATGATGCTATTTTACTACATACCAGATTATGTTGTGTTGGTTTCATTGGCAGTACTTGTATTGAATATGTATAGTACTGAATAGTACTTGAATATGTATCAGAGTATGGTGTCCATTATGATTATCTTTGAAGTTTGAACAAGATGGTGTAAAATAAGCATGTATGTGGGCACAAATGATTGCATTTGGTATTGAATCTAAATTTTCAGTTTGTCCTACACTCCCCGGCAATTTTAAAATCACTGCCAATTTTAATAGATGTGGTAAGCATCAAATCATAGTATAAGTTAATAACATGATGCTGCAGTATAGATATGATGGAGTTTCAGTTATAAGGTTGGTTTGGCTGCCTGTGCCTGGCTTAGTTCTAGTGTATTACTCAATTAAAACCAAATACTCAAATAAACCCATATACTGTATACAAGTGACAACTACAATGTATGATCCCAGTACCAAGAATTGTGACATAACTTGTTGCTTAACCACATCAATACAATTGACACAGTGATTCACAACTCTCCAGACAGTAGACTATTTCTATTTTTTAATGCTCGTCTTTCCCTCTTGTAGTGTATGATATTATTGAATCTACTTTCGTAATTGTGTTAACATTCATATTTGATAAAATGGATTACATACAACTGCCGGGCTAGTTGCACTGATAACTCATTCATTGCTCTGGCAAGTAGTTACCGGTATTCTATTTCATAATAAAATCTAATCTCAAAATTATTAATGTGAATATATTTGAGTAGCACTATTAATATTTTCATATGGAAAGTTCCTTGTTATTAACAAGGGGAATAATTTATTGTAGTTAAAATTATGTTGTATTGAAGTTTTAATGAATCAAAACAGTATAAATATTATAAATTAAATAATACATTTAATTAATTTTCTAGCTGACAATGAAAACAAGTTACTCCTATGTGCATGCAATGGGCGATGCATCATTAGATAATCAACAGTACTAACAAGGTAGTGCAAAAGCACTCACAGAATGTATGCATGTACATGTATACCCTAGTGTTTCCTTTCAACAAAGATTGAGTGCACTATAAGTTTTATTGAGCCTTAGAATCACTGTACTAACATATTTATT